CGGACTGGGGCCTCTGCTAGACGTTCCCAGCACACCCTCACTACGCGTTTAGGTGCACCAGGTCTGTCCAGCGTCCTCCCCCACCATCAATAAATCACTGCACTAATTTCCCATTTTCCTAGCATAAGATAAAGAATGAGGTGTGGCTCAAGGCTTTTGGACAGGATTGTACAATAGTTCATTAATGCTCTGACTACATTTTCCCCCGGTGTAGACACTTTAAAAAGCAAAGTGACTGGAGCAAGTAAAACAATAAATCACAAAGTTTCTGTAACACCAAAGGCCATAAAAGGTGAAAAAATGCCAGATTTCCTTGCAAAATGTCACCATTTGAAAATTTCAGACAACTTATGATTCATAGGAAATACATTTAAAGGGACAGTTTCACAGGTGCAGGTGAGGTATTGACAGCTGTGTGAAAAAATATGAGGTGAAACTAAGGTGAATAAATAGGATCTTTTAGGGAACATAAACAACACTGTGCTAATGCGATTTTATCAACTTTTATTAAAGTAAAAGTTCATTTAGATCACTTTTTATTGTAAAAGACTGAAGTAATCATCTCGCTGTTTTAAGTAAGGTCTTTGCATAAGTGCTAATAGTCTTTCTTTCTAACTCTTAGCAAAATAAATAAATAAAAGGGGGCAAAGAGGCAAGCATAGCGTTCCCAAAAAGCGCACCCCTTTTCCCAGGTACAGGTCTCCGAGCTTTTCCACAAGTCAGAATGCTCAAAGGTTAAAAAACACACATATATTAAAAAAGCACTGATTAATGTTCCTTAATTATCTTCACCTCCACAGACAGGCCTCACTGAAGAGCAGCTAAAGTCTCTGGACAGTATATTTGAAGGCACCTACAAAGCCAAGTATCCCATTGTGGGTTACACAGCATCCCGTATCCTGAACGAGGATGGAAGTCCCAACAAAGACTTCAAACCCGAGGACCAGCCTCATTTTCAAATCAAAGATGAATTTTAATGTAATTTCATGTGGTCACTTTACTTGACAAGAATCGCGATGAAGAAGTTTGATACATGTGCAATAATAGGAGAAGCATTATCCTGTTGACTCAATATTGAGAATTAAATAGCGCTTTAATAGCTTTGACCAGTTTACGGTGCACCAACTACTTTAATACCTGTTGTATCATCTGACTGAGATAAAAAGCGGGGACTTTGGAGTAAGAGTATGCAGATAGTTAACGGTCTCCCGGAGACACATTTAAAGAAGTTTAAGCACAGATCAAGATGCCTCCTGCTCCTCTCACAGTGCTCTAAGCCATTTAATTTCATACTCTAAACATTAGGAGCTCAAAGCTCCTTGCAAACTTAAAATAATCTTCATGCACTGTAGCTGCAGTGTTTTGTTTTATTTTTATAAATGAGAGACTGTAGCTGATTATTTTTGTCACTAATCAATTCATTTTTTTGAACTCTGTATTTTACTGTGAAACTAAATGAATTATGTGAATGACTCAGTGGAATATTTATGTTTAGGAAACAATAAATCTGCAGCTTTGTTAGTGTTCATCGGTCCACATGTATTCAACTTGTTCGTCTACAATTCTCATTAAAGTCTGAAAATGTTCTAATCTTTTGTTGGTCTCATCCGTGTTCTACCACACACAACTGTGTTACCTTGACACGACCTCTTTATGACAGCCCTCTCTGCTGTCACCTCCAAACAGGCGACATAAATAGATCGTCCGGCCCCTTATAGTCTTGCTTGCTCTGATCAAAGGTCGCAGTACTTAAGGTGCTGAAGCAGGTGATAGTCTTTGGGTGGAATTACGCATCTTGCGCTGCCAGTGGCCACATTGGAAGTAAATCTTTCAGTTTTGTGATAGTAACTCTCACGTCACTCTGCGTAATCTGCTGAGTTCAAAGGGCACGAGCCCTGCCCAGGAGTTTTCGAGCGAGAGCGGTGCTGTGCTCTTTATCAGGCGCACGTTCAGCTGGGAGACGTTCACTGCAACCTGTGACAACCTGGGAACCACTTGGTACTACTCATCCACCAACCGCAGCCAAGATGCCCAAAACGGTAGGATCGCCACGATTTAAATGATTTTTTGTCACTGAAGTGTTTCTTCCTGTTGCATATTCAAAAATGTCAGTGGTGGGTTTATACATTTATTTGTGTGGTTTCTTTGAATTGCTTATGCTGAGAATGACCACTAGATACATTTCAGAGTTACTTGCATAAATACAGATTTAATAGCTTTAATTTCTAATTAAATGTCCTTTTTTTAAAAAAAGAAATAAACAATCTGGCCAAGCTTCTTGTTTCCAAGAGTCCAAGATCCTTCTTGGCATTTACTCATTAACTAAGTGTAGAGTTTGACCCATGCTGCTCACATTCCTGACAGAAAAATGCTACTTCAGGTCTGCAACCAGCCTGTCTGCTGTTTCTCTGGGCATGCATAATGCACTGCAATCATGGTAATTCCCTTTAGTGCCACTGGAGTGATTTTTAAATGCTAAGAACGAACTCATGACTGTACAGTTTAAGCGCTTTTCTCTGCTCCGTTTGATTTTCTGAGGCACCCTGCACCAAACAAGAGACCTCTGTCTTAAACAAAGAAAACTCTCATGTTCTAAATGTCCGCAGTTACTTAAGCTTTCAGCATCAGTCTGTCGGAAAACTGATAAGAACGACTGGCCTGTGCATTACGAAAGCAGCTCTGTGCTTATATTGACACTGCAAGGAGAAAGCCTCTCTTAAGAGGTCATTCTGACGTCTACGTCCATTTGACTGACCTTAAACTAACTACAAATCAAATAAAATTATGAGTCATAGTTGCAGGTGTTGTTTGCGTTGTGGAAAACGGTTTTTGAACAGCTAAACAAAAGAGGTGCGACAGTACCAAAAAGCACAATCCAAGTATAAACAAATTAAGATAATCCTACATAGCTCAATGGTATAAACTGGTGACTGAGTCTAATGGATTAATGATTCATCAGTGATGTCCACAGTCAGTGATTAGTGAGCGATTAAGGTTGTGGCAGGTAGGAAACACCTGCAGGATGTCAGCGAGTTGAGCTATTACCTTATGCATGCCATCACTGGAGGTGGTAACAGTTGAGTAACACGTTAGAGGTTTCACAAATGGATGTTCCAGCTTTTGCTGCTCAAGTTTCGATGGGATTATCTTTATGACACCCGGGGCGTGCTGTAGTATAACTTCATAAAACAATTGTGTAACTGCTACAAGCCCAATCTGGCCTGTGATCAGGGTCCGTGTGTTGAGAACAGCCTGGGTGCTTTAGTGTGTTTTTTTTATGTTGAACATCTGCTCTATAGACATTTTAAAGTGTCATTTCTTTTCCACTTTAATCGTTGTTGTTATAAAACAGGCTGATCTTGACTAACAACGGTAAAGTCAACTCTGCAAGCGTTGTAATCTGCGAATGTGCAACCTTGTGTAACCTCGCAAGAGTAGTCCGAAGTCTAATGAGATAGTGAGCAATTATGGTTTATGAATAATCCACTTCACAGCTCCTTCACACATATGACTACAATATCTTTATGTTTCCAGGCTGATCGCTGATCGCTGCAAACTAATAATAAGATCACAGTAAAATATTTCTGCCCGGTTACAGATTCTCTGAGAAAAGGAAGCTGATTGTTTGCAAATATGATTCATGTGTATACAAAAAGAAATCTCTGTCATCACGTGACTAAATGACCTTTATGCTGCAGGTCAATGTCCGCATCACCACAATGGACGCGGAGCTGGAGTTCTCCTTCCACCCCAACACAACAGGGAAGCAGCTCTTTGACCAGGTCGGTGTGATGCAGTTCACAAAGCACATCCTGTATTATTTTATAGATCCCGGATGACTTTATGTAGACTGAAAAGTTTCTGTTTCTTTCTTTCTTTTGAGAAGTCTTTCATGCATTTAAAAAAATTAAATAAAATGGACTGGCAAAGTGATGGATTAACGCCAAGTAGCAGCAAATACAACAGTGTAAATACAGTACAGACCTTTGAAATATTTCAGCAGAGAAATACTTTCAGTCAGATACACTCGCGTTGGTATTTGTTTTGCAGATAAATGGTCTTAACTGTAACCAGTGGGTATTTTATTCCATCAGCAAAGCAACTAGTAACCATAGCTGTCCCACAGATCTAGTCTGGTAAAAGCTGGCCAGTTTAATGAGCCCCTTTGTGATAAAAAAAATATATATATATCAAAAAAACAAGCTTAACGTTCTCATTTAAAAGTTCTGTAATCTTATCCAAAGGTTTTATTCTTCAGGGAGAAATTACCGCAAGAGTCATGGAGGAGGTTTTGATTAAAAAGTGAAGAAGCTGTTGAGAAGATGTGCAGGATTAGGATTTTGTTATCATGTCTCCACTCTGAAGGTTTCCAGGACCATCGGCCTGCGTGAGACTTGGTACTTCGGGCTGCAGTTTGTTGACATCAGAGGATTCACCTCATGGTTGAACTCTGAAAAGAAGGTGAGGACTTGCAGTGATGTTAACCTCTGTTTCATCTACTCTGTTTAGAATTGTTAATTGTAAATGTAAAAACCCAGAGGCCTGCTGCAGCTCTCAGTTCTACAGCCATCTTTTTTATTATTAAATGTACTGTATTATTTTTATGTGTCTATTTAATTTGGATTTTTCTGTATTGTGTGCAAGTAAGCATTTAATTGTTAAATCGAGAGTTAAAATACGTGTTGTTCGTAAAAGTAATTTGACCCTTTTTCTACGGGATTCTTGCCCACACTCTGTTATTTATTTAGCTGTCTTTACTACTCTGCTGTAGGAACTTCAATCATATTTTATTCTTTAATTATTGCCCCTCTAGGTGATGTCTCAGGAAGTGAAGAAAGAGACTCCCCTGCAGTTCAAGCTGTTGGTCAAGTTTTACCCTGAGGATGCAGCCGAGGAGCTGATCCAGGACATCACCAGGAGGCTCTTCTTCCTCCAGGTGAAGGAGGCGATTCTGAATGAGGAGATCTACAGCCCTCCAGAGACCGCCGTGCTGCTGGGCTCCTACGCCATCCAGGCAAAGTATGGCGAGTACAACAAGTCGACGCACAAGCCACGTTACATGTCCTCTGAGCGTCTTCTGCCCAAGAGGTGAGTGCGAGTGGATCTGCAGCAGCTGCACATTGGTGAGCAGGAAATCAGTTATTTGCAACTCAGTACAACTTTACTGCTTTTTTGCAAGGGCAGATTTATGCAGCAGTGATCCGAGTTGAAAGATTAACACCGCATCCATCCTACGGGAACTCTTTACAATTGTGACGTTCCAAAATGTAGATAAAATTCCTCTGACGCTACAACTAGATTTGGCTTTCACAGTTTTATTACTACGAGTGTTATTCTCTCAAATTCTCAGACATCAGCTGCTCTGATAGTCAGTAGCACATTTTTTAAATACAATTTGTCATTCATCATCTTATTTCCCCTAAAAGTTAGTGAACTGATTATTTTCTAAAATTAAACACATGACCACATGGATGAAGCGGCTCTGTCTTTTTACCTTGCTGAGTGCACTTAAAAGAAGATTAGGACCATTTATCTGTGATTGGTGTAGTTTTTGCATCAACTTTGCACTCATAAAATGACAGAACAGCCGCATCATAAATGATAGTCTTCTGGATAAATGACCTCTTTTCCTTTACAGCAAATCTGGAACTCATCCTGGCTACTAGCCTCCCCGAATTATCGAACTATTAACCAATGTGTGATAATGCCCCTTCGGCTCCTGACAAAGGATGCCGGGAAAGACACAACAATGCATCATGTGTATGCTTTAACCCTGTATGTATACACAGACTGTTTACATTTTCACCAGCATGGGTTGCTGATAGCTTGCTGCTCCCCTCAGAGTGCTGGACCAACACAAGCTGTCAAGGGAGCAGTGGGAGGAGAGAATCCAGGTTTGGCACCAGGAGCACGGAGCGATGCTAAAGTAAGTGAAGGCTGAGTGGCGTAAATTTCCTCCCTCAAATGGATGCTTTCAGGACTTTACTTTTTAAGAATGAACAGCATTTTTGGTCTCACAGCGTCCTGGAGTTTTGTAGTCAGTGAACTTTTACAAGCAGTAAAGTAAAGTAGACTTAGAAGGCTTTGTTCTTACTCATGATCACTCAGCTTTTACAGATGCTGCAGTGTAACCGTGTTAGCATAAAGGAAAAAGAAATTCAGCAGCAACTATTTTATAACTCATTGCTGTGTTTTTGATGCCCAAAAAAGCTTCACGCACTCTGTTGTAATGATTATTTGCTTTTTTTGGTTCTAATTAGTTAATAAGGGACATGGATTATTAGGTGGAGGTTTGCCGCCACACTTTAAACCCCCCAAAATAAAGTAAAAGACAAATTAGTCTGTTGAATATTTAATATTTTATTTAATTATCTAATGTGAACAGGGAAGAGGCCATGATTGAGTACCTGAAGATCACCCAGGATCTTGAGATGTATGGCATTAACTACTTTGACATCAAGAACAAGAAGGGCACAGACCTGCTCCTGGGAGTCGACGCTCTAGGCCTCAACATTTATGCAAAGAACGACAAGTAAATCAGTTTTTGTAGTAAATCTCTCTCTCTGTATTTCTGTTGTTTTGTCCCTGCTTTTGTTTGCTGTAACGTTGTTCTGTGCGCTGACCTGATAAAACACATCTGTAGACAGGAGATCAATGCACCAGCGGTCAAGCCTCAGTCGGAGGCGTGTGTCAACTTTCCTTTCAGTGGCTGGTTTTAAATAACGCATCTAACTATATGGATGTTGCTTTGAAGAGGTCATTGACCCAATTCTACTACAACATGAACCTACAAACCCTCCCCAGCCTCTTCCTCTGATACCGCATGGGTCAACCTGTCCAGCTGTGAACCTTTTAAAGAAACAAACTTAAAGCTCATATCACACTGTGAAAAATATCTCTTTTTATCCATTTTTCAGGCTGACTCCGAAGATTGGATTTCCCTGGAGTGAAATTAGAAACATTTCTTTCAATGATAAGAAATTTGTTATCAAGCCCATAGACAAGAAAGCCCAAGTAAGTGTTTTATGAGTTCAATAATCTTCACTAGTATCAAACAGCTTTTTTATACCAAGAGATTTTAAACGAAGCTTATGGAGCCCTTTTTGAAAAAGAAAAAAAAGTTGTCTTCTACTTTTCTGTCTTTTAAAGGACTTTGTATTCTACGCTCCACGGCTTAAAGTCAACAAGGGCATCCTGCAGCTGTGCATGGGCAACCATGAACTGTACATGCGACGCCGCAAGCCCGACACCATCGAGGTTCAGCAGATGAAGGCTCAGGCCACACAGGAGAGGCAGCAGAAGAAGATGGAGAGGTGGGTGAAGCTAAGCGCCCGGTTAAAATGATGCAGGCAAACTTAATTGGAATTTGAAATGTGTAGGCTTTGCGTTAGGCGTGCGATTGAGCTTTTCCGTGTTCTGCAGGGATCAGCTGGAGAGCGAGAAGAAGAGGAGGACGGCCATCGAGAGGGAGAAGGAGGAGATGGAGAGAGAAAAGCGGGAGCTGATGGAGAGGCTCCACCAGTTTGAAGAGACAACTAGGAGAGCAGAGAGAGGTGAGATAGAAAATTTGACGTAGAAGCTGCGTCGCTGCGGACCTTATCTGTTGTATAGTGCTATGAAAAAGGAGATTTCACAGATTTTTTTCTCAGTAGTCCACATTAAACCGTTTATTAACCATCTGCTAATACCTGTAGAACCTTGAGGATTTGAGCTATTACAGGTTTACGGCTTAACTATACATCCATCCATCCATCCATCCATCCACTTCAGGGTTCCAACTTGAAAGTTCACACTGTTTGATAGAAACTATTACATATGTGAGCTAAAGCGATAAAGGGTGTCCCACATTATAAACATGAACCTTTCATTCTTGGTTAATTTCCTTTTTGGGGCGGGGCTTTTTTTGTAAAACCTGGATATTTTAATCATTAATTGCTCTTAAAAATAAAAATAAACATAAATGCCACATCTATATCAGCTCTTCCACTACCCAACTTCAACCGTCATTGCACAGTACTGTATATATTCTAAGAAGTAGATCAGAAAACCCTTTTCTCAAAAGTACTATTGACATTTGGTAAAAAGCCCACCACCGTATTAGGTAAAACCCCCTCCTCCATCATCCTCCCTTGCTTCTCCCCCATATGGTGGAATATATATTTGAGAGTTGGAAGGGCAGATTTCAAAACATGGTTTGACAAAGATGTGAGGAGGATGGGAGATCGTTACTTGAAAAGCAACTTTGTTATGTTGGGCGAATTTTGTCAAACATATGATCTTCACAAAAGGCATTTCTTTAAATATCTTCAGTTAACATATTTTTTTCCCAATCATCGGCATTTAGCATTTAAAACGTTCAAATCATTTTTAAAATCTAAAACACAAGGCTCATATTTCTATGATCTTAACAACCTTGATGTCTTATGATAATGAAGACGTGCAGTAAAGATAATAATAAAATAAATTCATAAAACTCTTCTAAAAAGGATGACATTAACTAATTTATTACATATTCATTTTCCATGTAATTTTGTTACATAAATATGATTAAAAATTTGGCATGAACCTGGTCAGATGACTAGATGACTAAAACATTTTCGTAAACGATTATTTATAAAAAAATAAATAAACCTTTGATTTGAAATATTTCAGTTGCGATTTACTCAAAAATATTGCTTTATGTTTATTGAGGTAGAAGAAAAACATTTTTAATTTTGGAAACCTTTATTAGAGTTTTGGAACCACCAAAATATTTTAATAGTACTGTATTTTCCTTTTTTCCCTGTAACTTTAATCTTTTTTTTTCTATGATGTTAACATAGAAATGTTTAAAAAAGAAAGCACCCCGATTTAAGACAAATCAGAGTTTTGAATTTCTTATCCTGCATTTTTATAACAACGTACAGTGCTTTATAGATTTCCCCGTGTTCTGACTTTGTCACGCAGAGCTTCAGGAGCAGCTGGACCGGGCCATGAGGTTGGAGGAGGAGAGGAGGAGGGTGGAGGAGGAGGCGGCCCGGCTGGAGGCTGAGAGGATGGAGGCTATAATAGCCAAGGAGGAGCTGGCCAGGCAAGCTGAGGACCAGTTAAAGAGCCAGGAGCAGCTGGTGAGTGTGAAGCACATGAGGGAAAAAGTCCTGATAAATCTCCTGAATTCATTCTAAGCACTTATCGGCTGTTCTAATGGCAGATTAAAGTACCACGGAGGTTTTTTGCTTTTGCTTTCATCACATTTCTAAACTGACAGCATGCCTATTCTGTTATTCTCACGTCACAGTGTTGTGCTTCCTCCTTCAGGCTGCAGAGCTGGCCGAATATAGCGCCAAGATTACTGCGCTGGAGGAGGCCAAGAGAGCCAAGGAGGAAGAGGCTGAGACATGGCACACCAAGGTGGGTCTCCAGCATGCAGTCAAGAGCTCCACAAGTCACAGGAAATACCAGAAAAATGTCCCAGCACAATATCAAATATAAATTTATTGTTTAAAAGAAAGAAAACGATTTATCTGTATAAGTCATCCATAATTTGAATCTTTTGCACTGTAATTTACATTGCATACTTCCTCAAAAACATAACTACTCATGTACTGTAACCCTTGCATCTTATTCATATTAGATTGCTTTGGTTTGAAAGTATAAATTCAGGAGCCATGTTTTAGTGGAGAGGTCAGAAAGGCAGGTTCAAGTTTGCAAAAACCAGAAAGCTTGATTTGTCAATGTCCTTGCAAATTTGGGTATTACTGTCACATATATACAACTAAAACACTTAAAATACTACATTTATATTATAATCAAATGCTCAATGATGCAAACCACCAGCAAATCTAACACACGCCTCTCCCCACCTTTCCTTTTAGGCTGTCGAAGTGGAGGAGAGTCTGCTGAAAACGAAGGAGGAGCTGCACACTGTGATGAGTTCTGCCAACTCAGCTCCTGTTGCTGAGCATGCATCCTCCTCCTCCTCCTCCTCCTCCTCCTCAGACAGCGAGAGTGACCATGAGCACAGCGAAGAAAACAGCACCTATAGCGCCGAGCTGCAGACACAAGGCATCAACTACGACCGCCAGGAGGAGGAGCGACTCACCGAGGCCGAGAAGAACGAGCGCCTGCAGAAGCAGCTTCAGGTTAGTTCAGGGACCTGGAATACATCCCAGATCAGCCGGAGTCTGCAGCAATGCTTAAGACACTTTTTTCTCGTAGCTTTTCTATAGCTTCCAAAACACTTATAGCAAAAATATGCTGTGTTAAAAAAAACCATGAAATTTTAAGCATCTATTATAGAAGCCCAAATAATGTTGTTCTAGAAATAAGTCTCACTACTCGGCACCTGAGCACCTTTCTTGGAAGGGTTTATCGAGGCATTATCAAAGTTAACTTTAAATTCAATCTTCACTCGAACATAAACATTTAAAACTATCTGTGACTTTGCCCCAAAATAAGGTTTTTAAAAGTTTTTTTTTCTAATGGATAATACTTCTACCATCATCTTTGAGGTTTTTGAATTCACTCACATTTTCAATCACGATTCGTTGAGGCTCTTTTCCCTCTCTTGTAATACTTCAGGAAAAGAGCCTGGAGAGGGGAGGCAAGGGCTGGAGAGAGCAGTAGAAGAGAGACAGAAGAGAGACATGTGTGAGCAAGAGACAGATAGTTGAAATAGAGAAGAAGCAAGGAGCAGAGGTAGTGAAGGTGGATGAGTTTAAATACCTTGGGGGTCAAGCATTCAAAGCAGCAGAAAGTGCACAAGACAGGTGAAGAAGAGAGTGCAGGCAGGGTGGAGTGGGTGAAGACGAGTATCAGGGGGAATTTGCAGCAAGAGTGAAAAGGAAGGTTTACAAGATGGTAGTAAAACCTGGTATGATTATGGTTTAAGGTGATGGTGACATTGACAAAAAGAGCTGGCGATAAGATTTTCATTGGGAGTGACCTGAATGGGCAGAGGGTCGGTGTGACAGAGCAGGATGCAAGTGATATAGTGAGGCAATGGAGGCAGATGATCGAGTGTGGCAACCCCAAAAAGGAACAGCCAAAAGAACAAGATGATTAAATTAAAGATATCACTTTCTAATGGAGGTGTTGCCAAGATATCTGTTGATGAAGTGAATTGTATACAGTTTAATAACTGGGCACGACTCCTCCGCAGGACCTGAGCTCAGAGCTGGCACAATCCCGAGATGATAACAAGAAGACCCAGAACGATAAACTCCATGCCGAGAACGTCCGCGCTGGCCGTGATAAGTACAAGACCCTCCGTCAGATCCGTATGGGCAACACCAAGCAGAGGATTGATGAGTTTGAGGCCTTGTAGAAATGCCAGAGACCTAAAGCTCTCTCACAAATACCTCGTGAAGGCCTTGTTCAGCATTTTAATATAACTGAAACCAAATGTGATCCCAAACACCCAGAAAAGGCATGGAGCTGATCTGTGTAATAATTTCTGCACGAGTTTTACTTTGCTGGCTGAAACTGGCACTGTGGGTTGTTTTTGCTCTATTCTGTTTTGTGTTGCACTCAAATGTTTCCAATGTGCTGTTTAGTCCCATTAAAATGCTGATGTGCATCACTCTGGAGACCAGATATACTGTATGAACAAAGCTAGTACTAGGGGTACTATAGAACTTATATATCTTATCATAACTAATCAGTAGTTGTTGCAATTTACATTTGCAGTTTTGTTACTGTAACAAACTGAAGTGGTTAAATTTTGATTTATTTAAATGAATGCCTGATGCTTAAAAAAAGATCTTTTTTATTTTATTTGTTTGATAGTTTTGCCAAAGAAATGTCAGCAAAGTGTAGAAAGGTTCCCACTTGTGTTCCAAGAAGCTTGATGTAATGCTGTCATACAAAATGAATCTCAGTTTGCAATAAAATAAAACTGAGACTCACAGCAAATTAATTCATAATTACTCATGAATATTCCTGGTGGTCTGGCCCTCCTCGTCATGTTCTCCTGTATTTTATTTGTGTAAATAACAGTGCAACTTATTTCATTAATATACTTACATAATCTCTCCTGCTTCAAATGTATTGTTTTTATGATTTTCAGAATTTACTTATTGGAGTTACTTTATTTAACCACATGGGAACATTTAATGTATACTTACGCCGTCCTGTTTGTGTTCAGGTCAGATCTAGAGCATCTAATTTACAGTGAACAGGATACAGCAGACAAAAAGACAAGAAAAGACAAAAAGGCCAAAACTGAAGCAGCTTAATGGTTTCTATATTATATCTTTTATTATTTCTCCATTTGTTGCTTGAAAATGTTCTCCGGTGCTGCAGAAGCATTTTTAATGTTCGGCATTAAAAATGAAACGCATGTTAAAAAAAACACCAAAGAAAAGTCAGCGAGAAGACCTTAAACTCGGAATTAATTAAACTTCACCTTGTGCAGCTTTGTATTTTTAGGCAGAAGAGAAAATGAAGGCAGGAAAAAAGCTTTTTATGAGGCTATGGCATCTCTTGAATATTGTGTCATTACAGGCATTAAACATTAAAACTTGAAAAATATTCAAATTGTCATCATTTGCATGATTCTTCTCCATTATTGTCTGTGTGAGGAAGGGATAAAAGTTGAATTTAGAAAGATTTAATAGCTGCGTTAGTGAAAAGTGGAATTTGATCTTTTCTGTAACTTTCACCATTTAGTGAAACATGCTGATGTGAGTGCAGCACACAGACAGGAAGCTCAAGTGATGCCCGCTTTCAACTTTGGCTCCCTGTGATGATGTTTGAGGAAACTGAGGCTCCCTGCTGTCACAGGTCAAAACATATGCAGCTGAAAGGACGCATTGTTGTGCATATGACAAAACATTCCAACTGATTTGAATGAAAAAATATTGGAGCAATACAGCACGAGGACTAAAAAGTCTCCATCAGGGTCTGACGCAATGATGATACAATCAGTGAAGATTAAATTCTGAAGAAAGCAGAAAAAGAAGAAGAAAATAGGGGGAGAAGAAAAAAACATCATATACAACAATGACCGATTATAGTCATCCAAATTATCTGAAACACAAGAAACAGAAAAATGGGGGGCAGTTAAGTTGATATAAGCTACCTAAATTAATAAGATACAACAAAACACAAACACACAGCTTTAAGCAAGTGTAAATGTCAAGATTTCAAAAGGAGCACAATATATTAAAACGTATATAGGAGTTTTAGTAGCCTGTGGAGTTGCAACCCAGAATGTCTCTGGTGAAGAAGTTTTTCTAATCTGTCTCCACCTCTGATATGGATTGGTCCGACGTCCTTATAGTGAACCACCATTAGGTAAGTTGAGTTATAATAGGCGACTAGAAATCTTATGTCTGTCTTTGAACCTCTTCTTTACTCTCAAATAGTAATTCTAATTTTTTCCCCTGTGGATTTTTTTCTTATAATCTTAATTGATCTGAAGAATCCTGCAGCGCACCGTGAGGAGAATGCGCTTTTTTAAAATATTTGCACAGAACGGTTATCGTCAGGTTGCTAGACAACTTGGGAACCAGAAGAGCCGGTCTGTTTAAATAGCCACTAGGTAAATATTTACGTGTACGATCACATGGATATCAAGTTTAGTTGTTTTTTTTCTTCTTCCATCTTTTTTTCGGCGCTACCGTTCTTCTTGGAAACTGGAGTAATGTGCTCGTTGTGGCCTCAACGACGGAGGCTGGCCGTGCTTTTGTATATTTAGTGCATAAACTCCTTGAAGATGAGCGCTTTTGCTTGGAGCTGCTACTCCAACAAGCCGCCTCTGACAGTCTGTGGGATTGCCCTGTGTTCCTTTCCTGCGCAATCTAAATATAAGTCGGTGACAAATAGTCCAAATACAGTAGCAACCCAACTGTGATGTGGGGGTGGTGCTGAGAGAACAGCTCCTTCTCCAAAGTCCCCCCTCTGTTGGATCCGGAGTCCGTCAGGAGAAGGTGGCAGAGAGCCTCAGCTCCCACCTGCGCTCGATTTTTCTCTCCCCCTCTCCTTATTATCATGAAGAGACAAAACGCCAGGACTCTCGCCCTCATCATGAGCATCCTCACCTACCTGGTGGTCGGAGCGGCCGTCTTCGAGACCCTGGAGTCGAAGCAGGAGAAAAGTCACAAGAGGAAGCTCGACGCCAGAAAGTACGAACTCATGCGCAAATATAACTTGACCAAAGAGAACTTCGAAGAGCTCGAGCACGTCGTTTTACAGCTCAATCCTCACAAAGCAGGGGTCCAGTGGAAATTTGCTGGGTCCTTTTACTTCGCCATCACTGTGATTACGACGATAGGTGAGCAACAGTTATTTAATCAATACATGTGATGTCTTATTGCATTTCATTGAGAGATGTTCAGCGCAGGGCCGGAGGAAAGATTTTTAGAGGTAGTGGAGTCACTGGAGCCCCCCTTACGTTAGTTTGTGTGTCTCATTTAAAACAACAGATAAATAAAGAACACCTATGACTTCCCACAATTCCTGGGGTCTCTTCTAACTATTTAGACAAAGAAAATCGTGTCTGTAGCACTATAAAAAAAATATTTAAAACATTTTTAAAGCTGAAGATTCTGTTTCCTAAAAGAGTGGAAAAATTAAACCTTCACTTGTTAGCACATTGTTGCTAGTTTGTATTTTAAATGAGGAGGTTGTACCTTGATAGTATGATTAAAAAACCTATTTTCTTCTCATGCCTTATACAGTTTATCTGGAAACATTTTGGAAATGGATCAGACTTGACATATCCTATAATAACCCCCAAATTTTCATGTGTTTGCTGTGCCCATCAACGCTGAATTTTACTTTAATATTCTTGAACAAAATGAAGCTTTGCTTACAGGCTTTCATCCCTTCTGGGTAGGTAACATTATTCAAAAAAGCATCTTTTTGTGCAGCAGATCTTTATTCTTTGAGTTATATTTTCAGAGTGGCTGTAATTGGCTTACCAATCAGAAAAGTGATATTTATGTCAAATGTAATAGCTAAGACACACAGAGACATGGACACTGAATCGTTATTATGACTGTCTAAGTAAATCAGAATAATTGTATGCCATTGTGGCTTTCTTGGATGATTAAAGACAAAACAACACCAGGTGTAATTTAATTATTTATTATGGAATAAAAAGATCATTTAATGATGCCATATGAAGAAGAAAAGATATGGAGATGTCTATGGCTTTGGTTCTGGTTCACTTCAGCATAAGTTATATTTATAAATATTGCAATGTCTATGCTGTCAACAATCTGCGAGTTATAAATAAAGTAGAAGTAAGTTCACTACATTAATGCCAAGCTGAATCCTTTCCTTGGGCTTTCCCTTTTTCTCTTAGTGGGAGTGTGTGTTGGTTTCCTGTGGAATTAAATCAAGCAGCTGCTGTTCTTAGGCATTTATATTAGGTGAGGCCGTCTCTTGCTATGACTCACCACGGCAAAAGAATAGAGGCAAAGATGTCTAAAGATATGCAATATTCCCTGTCTCAGGTTATGGCCACGCGGCGCCGAGCACCGACTCAGGGAAAGTGTTCTGCATGTTCTACGCCCTCCTAGGGATCCCGCTGACCCTGGTCATGTTCCAGAGTCTGGGCGAGAGGATCAACACGTTTGTCAGATACCTGCTGCACCAAGCCAAGAAGTGCCTGGGAATGCGTCACACCGAGGTCTCCATGGCAAACATGGTGACGGTGGGCTTCTTCTCCTGTATGAGCACCCTGTGCGTGGGGGCTGTGGCATTCTCTCACTCGGAGGGATGGAGCTTTTTAAATGCCTTCTACTACTGCTTCATTACACTCACCACTATTGGCTTTGGAGACTACGTGGCTCTGCAGAAGAATGAGGCCCTGCAGAATGACCCTAAATATGTGGCTTTCTGCTTTGTTTACATCCTCACGGGCCTGACGGTGATTGGAGCGTTCCTAAACCTGGTGGTGCTTCGCTTCCTGACCATGAACACTGAGGATGAACGCAGGGACGCCAAGGAGAAGGCATTGCTCTCTGTCAGTAAGCCCAGAGGAGAGGTGGCTCATCTGTTACCAGTCTCAATATCAGCTTCCTCCACACCTGTAGCAGATAACACCACAAAGGCTAAAGATTTAAAAGGTGTCTACACTGAAGTGCTTCAATTCCAGACTATTTGCTCCTGCTTATGGTACAGGAGCGAGGAGAAGGAGCAGGACTCCATACCCAACATGATCCCTCAGGAGATGACATTCTCCGATGCCTACTTGCAGCAGAACAATGACTGTGCTCACTACATGGAGCCTGGCTCAACAGGCTGCGTTTGCAGTCCACGTCAGTGCACGAGCATAAGCCCAATATCAGGCCTACACATTTTCTCTCCATTCAGGATGTTTAAGAGACGCAGCTCCGTGTAGCCTTTTCAGCACAACAGATTTCATTACAGCATAATTTGTCTATAACTGCCAAGTGGGCAGCAGATACTTGGCAGTCCTCAGCAAAGACATGACTGCAAGTCGATGTTTGTGGTGCTACAATCCCAGTAATCCAGAAGCATAACGTGCAAAAAGGGAAAAAAAGCACATAGAGTACTGTAAACACAAATATATATATTTGAGCAACATCACAGTGTTTTTAACTGAGGTGTTATTCGAGGGCATCCAGTATGCTTTGAGGAATCCTGTAGGTGTGTCGAAATTGATCTGGTTAGCTGCACATGAACAATACGTCTGCGCAGTGTGTAGGTAAGAGCAGAGGCTTCGGAGCGGTGGCACAGTGAAAGGGTGACATAAAAAATGAATAAATGATTAAAACCTGTCAGTCAGCAGGTCTCAAAAGCTAAACTTTGTGTTTTTGGTAATAATCTCAGAGGTGCTGATTCAACTCAGGGGTTATTTCTTAATGTTGTAGCTGGTCGGTGTTTTCCTTTGATAGGCACGCATCATGATGATTTTCTGGACTTTTTCCACCATGGTGTTTGTGACTGGGCTCATATCAGTTGCCTTATGTCGCCCTGAAACAAATCGTGATTGTCAAAGCTTCAGAAAAGCTGATACATACCAGAAATTTCATGTGACTCATGTGTAGCTGCCCCTGGTGTTAAGACTTCTAGGGCTCTTTGCCCAAAGTACAGGTGCATCACAGACACTACTAAATTATGTAACGTGACAAGTGGGTAGGTTAAAAAATAAATCACATCTCAAGCGCAGTTAAAAAATCCATTTGGAAATAAGTGCGGTGATCACAAGTAGACACTTATCAGCACTGAGCGAAACGCTCTCAACTGGATTAGTTGTGTAACACTGAAAGCACTATTTTAAAAATTACTTGTGGGAAGAAGCAAGAACTCCAACAGCCCCATCAAAAAGGAGCATTGCCAACTTTCTATATGTGCTTTATTCATGTCCCCGTGAACATTAAAATCAAAGCTCCTGTGTGTTTAGATCGAAACTTAGACAGATAATTTTCCAAATACAGTAAACACCTGGTGACATTGCCAAGATACCCGCTAAGTGGCAGGAGTTTGTTAAAACGCTGATACCTTTTTACCCCCTAAAGCTCACTTATTAACAAGCATTCTGTTTCACTGACTTTTTTGTACAAACGAAAAAGTGTTAAATGTCAAGCTGTGAACAGCTTTTTAGTTCATGTGCCAAGCCAAGTAATCACCTCCCATTAAACCACAAGTTGTATTTTTTACACTGATTAAATAAAAGAATTGTTTTAATGTTTACATGTTTGAGCCACTGAGAAGTAATTTAGAATTAAGGGAATAGATCTAAGCCAAAGACCTAAGATCTAAGACAGATATGAAGCACACCTCTGGATCAAAAAGTAGAAGCAGGCTATTTGAGCAGCAGCTTGGAGTGGCAGGTGGCAGGGGGTACAGTGGATAATAAGCTGGTTGCCAATCACAGACAATTATGTCACAATGGGCTGAGCCTGGGTGATTGATGGAAAAGGAAAAATCCACCCTCAGCTAGTATTTCCTGTGTTTCTGAACCCAGTTTGGTGCTTAGTGGTGTATTTTTCTGTGGGCAACATGATGCGATGTCACACTCAGTTTATTTCCAGCAGCTTCAATAGATGATTAACTTCTTAAGGTATTTCATTTATTTAAGAAAAAAAAAGCAGTAAAATCTAATATAGAAAATAGGGCAAAAACAGAGTCTCTCGTTCAGATTTTGCTAATGACCACATTGATTCTTTAAAACAGCCTGAACTCTCTAAAGCAGAATTCCTTCTTATTTCTTTATGTAGTCTTCAGGAATAGTTCTCCAGGCTTCTTGAGGAACATTCAAATTTCCTTTTGGGTTGTTGACTCCCTTTTGTTCTGTTCAGTGTCAAGATGATCCCACACTGCTTCAATAATGTTGGTGTCCGGGCTCTGGGGAGGCTGATCCTCAACTGATAGTGTTCCAGGTATGTTTTCGCTGCACTGGGATTGTGTTTGGGATCATTGTCATGCAGACACTTTCTAGATGGTATTATATGGTGGATCAAAATCTGATGATCTCTGTGTGATGTTCACATTTTCATAAATTTTAACAAGATCCCCAACGCCACTGGCTGAAATGTAGTACCAAACCATCAAAGAGTCTCCAACATCTTTCACAGATGGCTGTACGCACTCACAAGACCACGCCTTTCCTTGCTGCTTCCTTTCCTTAATTACTTCTTGACAGTGTGCCATTTTTCATATATTCAACGAATGAAGTGGCAACTAATTATGCGTGTATTAAGTTATCTGCTATGTGTAGGCACAAGACTGGTTCATCCCTTGGGTTAGGTGCTGTTTTTATTTGAATGATTCATATAGGTCAGTGTTAAGTGGCTTAACAAACAAAGAAAAACATTCCTCTGAAAATGGTTGAAGGACTGGACTGAAAAAGAGTGAAAAAGGACATAATAAGCCTGGAGAACTTAATCAAGACCATTAAGATTTCAAGAAAGTCCGGCTCCATGGAAGCAAATACAAGGAAATGAGGGGTGGCTCAAGACTTTTGCACATACTGTAGCTAAAATTAATATTTATTTATTATTTAAATTGTGGTAGATTAATTTTCTGTTCATCAGCTAATAGATTAAGTAATAAATTATTGTAAATTTATACAAAAACACAAAAGCTGTCAGATCCTACCTGTTCTCTCTGGATTTTTGTAACATGTGTAAACTCTCCACCTGAGGCACAAACACATGAGTCATGATTTTATTCAGTGTTGCTCTGGAAACAAAGTGAACGTCACAAATTCTTGAGGATTTGGCTGTTTTGTTTTTTTCTTTAAACTTTTTTTTTTTTTTTGGCTTAAGAGGGAAATCCTGAACGCTATTTTATGCACGTCTGGGTCTGATCTGATCTGTGTTACTGGAACTGACCTTTTGTGGTGGATGGAAATAAATCAGTGCTGTCCACACATGATAAAGGAAGGAAAACAATGAATGTGACTTTTTGCCTCATAAAATAGCAGTCAGTTGTACATTTCGTGCAAGTACTGCATTAGTTTAAAGTAGTAGATCACGTTGCGTATAAAGCGCCTTGAGGCTATATAAATAACATTGAATTGAACTGAATTGAAAGTTGCAATGGCACAAAGGTTTCTCTTCTTCTTGCTGTTTTCCATGATGACAAAGGCTTAAATAGTACTTGAACAATCAAAGAGCACTTGAATTTTTTTATACATACCCTGCCAAGGATTGTATGTATAGTTGAGACTATTCATTTGTCCGACAATACAAATCCCTCTGATCATAAAACAGTACACAATACTCTACTGTTTTGTGCTATCATGGGGGGAAAAAAAGAAAAAAACATCCATAGAAATACCGAAAATTTGAATATTTTATCCAATAAATGAATAATATTGAGTTTTAACTGTTGTTTTCCTGCTCACAAAATCACCATCTACAGGCCATATAAGCTGTAATCATGTGACTTATGATCTCCATGCTGCTTATCAACATGTGCTGTGTGAAAGAAAAAAAAAAGCCTGCTGAATGTATAGAAATGACTGTTTGGTCCAGATGGTTTCCCCCTGGGAATTCTGACTTCAGTCCAGTTCTGGACAACCTACAGCAGGTTAGTCACGAGCAAAAGTTTGGCAATGCATCATTATGTCATAGAAACACATCACTTTGATGCTGCACTTTCAGTTTAGGGGAAGGTGCTGATGTTTGAGCTTTAAATATGCTACCAGAACACAACTCTTTTTTTTTTCTTTTTTTTCTTTTTAATTAAAAACTGATTTGGCTATTATAGACCAATGAGAAAAAGTCTTACCGTTTCCTTGGCAATATGTGTCACTGATATCTGAAGTCTTAAATCACCATTTTCATTAAAGGAATACAGTTTCAAAAATGTAATAATTTGCAATTGTGCAATAAAATAAAAGTATGTGTAAAAGTTGGGGGTTTTGGACTATCTTGTTTAAGGTCAAATATTGTTTTTATATATTATAAATATATAGTATTCTTCAGGAGTGTTGATTCGTCACTCTTTTTTAAAAATATTTCCAAGGATCTGGACTTTCTTGTACGTTTGGTCTTGAGGAACAGTCATCTAGTCTTTCTGAAGGTCTTTCAAAGTTTTGGCTGCTTTTTCACTTTCCAGTCCAGTCCTTGTACCTGACATATCTCAGCAAACTTTTGGTTCTGCTCACTGAAACCTCATCAGCAATGGTCTCAGGTGCCAACAGGTCTTATGGGGTGATGAATCCAAATTTGATATTTTTTTCCCAAGTGGATACAGAGGAGATCAGTTGGTGACATCATCTGGCCACCATCTCATAATAGTTTCAAATTTAAGTGTGAAAATGACCCCAAACAGGATGTCAGTGCAGTGAAGGTATACCTGGATATTATTGAAGTGGAGCTTTGCCTGTCCTTCAAGAAGCCTGGAGAACGATTCCTGATGTCTACTTAAAGAAAGCTTGTCCAAGAGAGTTCAGAAGAATAAGAATACTATACTGTATTTCCACATGTGTTTGCATCTTTTAACAAACTACATCTATTTCCCATTTTTCTGAAAAAACAAGAAAAAAAGAAAGAAATGACAGGTGGCTCACGACATTTGCGCAGTTCCATATTATGATATCAACTCTGTGAAAAGCTGAAAACTTTCTTCTGTTTTTCGTGAACCCTCACATTTATTTTGAGCCTGTTGTTATATTTTTGTGTTGAAAACCACTGGTCTGAGTGATTTTAAGTGAAAGCGGCGCTCTAATTTTCCAAAATAAAGCATCATTAAAGTGGATTAGAGGCCCAGTAACAGGAAGCAGGCTCATTTTAGGCTTTATAAAAATAAAGATTTCTTTATGCACCTAGAATGAAATTGATACATCAAAGTGTGCTCAGGGCAATTAGGACCGCATCTCGTTATCAAGATTTGCCTGCCATTGCAACATCAAACCATCTTGCAAAGCCTGGCTTGGTGCCTGTGAATCTGCCCTCAGCCATCAGACATGAAGCACAAAAAAGCAACAGAAGGACTATCCATTCGACAAATCCCTGTATTGACCCCCCACGGCTGAAGCATCTGCTGTTTTCTACTTTGGCTATAGACCTGAGTATCTATGTCAAAGACAAAAATAGTTTCACTGAGAAGGTCAGCTATGACCTTACATCACTTGGTTTCTTCTCTGTTTCTGGGGGGAAAAAATCTGAGCAGGTTAAAACTGAAGGTTTGCCTCTCATTGTTGCTGCCAATTAAACAGATGGACTAAAGTGTCCTTGGTGTTTATGTGATTTCAAACAAAATTTTATCTTCTACATTTTCCAACACAAGATTGATTTGACAGATTGGAGATAATTAATTACTCACTGGCATCTTAAAGTTACAGGTTATGGAGAAAGAAAGAAATGTGATGCATGATGTTTGAAAAATTTCAGAGGTGAGAGAGCTTTTATTGGTGGTGAAGCAAAATAAACAAGAAGTCCTCGTTGCTCAGTCACTCACAGCAGCTGAAGTGCATCACGTTAATAAAACGGTCTCCCTGCAGCGTGCTGCTGCTGACCCAGGATCTCTGAACGTCGCACGCAGAGGCCGCTGTCACTTTAACAAAAGTTCAGAGTCCGAAAAATTCTTCGAGGCTTCAAAATGGATCTGAGGAAGCTGGCTGCGGACGCAGTGTCCCAGAATAAGAAAGCCGCTCTCCTGATCGGCGGAGCCGGAGTTGCAATTCTGGGACTCGGTCTTGGATATAAATACCTGCGAAAGCCAGAAAAAGCTGTTCGTGTGGGCGTAGTGTCGCAGCTCCTCATTCACCCTCTCAAGTCTGGCAAAGCGGTGCCTTTGGCGCTTGCAGAGTGCCAGAAAATGGGGCTGAAGTTCGGAGAGCTGCAGGATCGGTGAGTATTGCAATAAATAAATAAATAAATAAAATGTATTTATTGTTAATTAGTTCCACCGTTTAATTAAATAAAATATATTTACCGCTGTAACCATTCTTCGTTACCTCGCCATTAAATCTTACTGCAGGGCAGCGACGTCTCCTACTTGTCTTCTTATGGAGACATGAGGTCTTTCAATTCATGAAATCACAACAAGTCAGTGAATTTTCAACCACTTTGTTTAAAAAAAAAGGAACTTTCTGATATTCCCATTGACCCTCCCCTAAAAAATCCTGGAGACACCCCTGCACGGAAGCCCCCAGATTATTTTTCAGTTAATGTTTTATGAACAATTGACGAATAATAAAGTTTATATAGGGAATAAGTTTTTGTGTAAAAAAACAAAACAAAAAACAAAACCGCATTTAAATTAACAAAAGCATAGTACAAAACGTTTATATAGTTAATGATAAGCTACTGTGTAAATATTAATTAATTTATTATGTTTTATTTTGGTTTGTGTGGGTGTGTTTGTGTCAACATGGATATCAAACCAGATTCTAACAGAGCATTTTGTACTCGGGTAAAGAATATGGGAGACAATTAAACAAAATCACACTGCCATGGTTAAAACATTTCACACATTACCGTACTTCTTACCTCTGTTCCTTATGGTTTTAAGTGTACCATAAATAACCATCATGCCTATGCAGTGTTACTGTATCAACAGCAAGTCCATGTCTCTGTGGGAACCTGGAATACAGACGTTTGTCTAATCCAGTGGTTCCCAAACTTTTTTTTGCTGGGCCCCCCTTTGTTTTATAAGAAAAAATGTTCGCGCCCCCCGTTCGCACGCACGCGCACTAACACATCCTCCAACCACACACACCCATATTTTGCTCCATTGCGGTTTATTTCACACCTCAAACATTTAGTAAACAGCTAAAACAAATACAAGTAATCTGCAATAAATGACAGGTAGTAATAAAATAAACTACTAACTCTTTTAGGCTACGTCCACACCTACACGGGTATTTTTGAAAACGCAGCTGTTTCGTCCACACGTAAACTGCGTTTCGAATCACCGA